GTGTGTGTGTGTGTGTGTGTGTGTGTGTGTGTGTTTTTACTGGTGATACAACCAAGGGCCTCAAGCAGGCAACTGCTCTACCACTGAGACCCCTAGCTCAAGGCTGTATTCTATATAAGTGATTTGTTCTACTCTTTCCCCAAGTCAGAAGTCTGTTACTATTGAATCCTCAAGGAAAACTGAGGCCATCAAAAGAAGGAAGGTAAAGGCAGAGCCAATAATTGTTCTTCACCTTCTCCTTCAAAAAAGACCAGTGAAGGGTCTCCTGAAATGGGGATGGTGGTGTCATGGTTCTACAGGGTGTGGGAAAGAAGCTGTTGACCTCCAGGACAGGACCTGGGAGGGACTGGATATAGGCCTCTTGAAGAGCAAAGGGCTCCTGGCATCCTGGTTCAGCCCCCCCAGACCGAGTGTGCCTTGGGCTCCTGCCTCCAAGAGCCGCCCACGGCAGCACTTAATATAGTCTCTGCGTCAGGAGGGTGGGATGCCAAATTAAGGGACCGCTTAGACTCTCCAAATCCTTAGGAGGGGTCTCCAAAAGGCTGCAGGGAGACCTCCTCCTTCCCAGCCCACTCCTGCCACTCCTGGGGTCTCAGCCTATCTTCCCCATAGGTCTAATTGCTCATGCTTCTCTCTGGGGCTAGAGGACAGAAAGCTTTGAACTCCAAGGCTTCTAGAAGGGTGGGGGACACAGTAAATGATGTCCAGTTTCTTCTGCCTGCTTCCTCTTTAACCTTCTGAAAGAGCCCTGCCCCATAAACCTCAGGAGACTGAATGGAAACCCAGAAGAGGCTGGCTCTTGCTGCTTCAACTAAGGGGTCTTTATATTCTAGGAGCAAAATCCCGCACAGGTGGGTAACCAGGGGTGAGGGTAGTACCTTCACTAACCCAGCATCCTCTGTCGGGTCCCCCACCTACTCTACACACTGATCTCTCCTCTCCCTCTCATCCCCACGTTTCTGAGGCACTCTTGGAGCTGCGGTTGCTATGGAGACTGGATGCATTTTGGTATTAGGGGGGGCTGTCAGTTCTACATGTATTTCTTCTTGTTTCACCTTGAGCTGGGGCCTTTGACTCACTGGGCAGCTTAGGCTCCTGAGCCCTCAGATCTCTCCACTACACACACACACACACACACACACACACACACACACCCCTTTTCTTATCCTGCTAATCCCATGTTTGTCCCCATCCCTAGGGAACACTTTCCAAGTTCACTTTGGGGCCATCAAATCAAGTTGGAACCCGTCAAAGAATTAAATGTAGGGGTATAGGTGGAGAGGGAGCTGGGTGATGAGAAAGGAAAGCATCTAGGTCCCCTGGGAGGGTCCGGGAAAGGGATTTCAGGGTTCCCCACTTTACCACTTCAGCTTCCCCAGAATTCGTAGCGACCCCAAGTTTGCTATGTTCCTGGCGTCTGCCCATTCAATAAGTCTATATTTACCCCTGTCCCTAAGTGCCACACCCCACAGTCTTGCTCACCAGCCTCGGTGTTCGAGAGGAGGGGGCTAGGTTGTTGGATATGAGTCCAAGTCCCA